AACATGTCCTAGAACCATTGCTAAAAAGCACTACGTGCTTAAAACAGAAAATTTGGAGAACACAAAGGAAATCCTTTAATAGACAAGTAGAGTTGTAATTCATTAAAAACAACTTTTTGGGGAAAAAAAATGGATCCCTTTATGTGAAAGGGTTCCTTCCCTCGTGATCTAGAGGGACTGGGAAGTAGAACTCTCCAAATACAGTTTAAATTAGTGAGTTTGTAAATTTAGGGTTGGCGTTGGCACTTGATAGAAAACAACGGCTGTAGTCTTAATTAGTCTGAATAACTTTTGCTTTTGGGTTGTGAAACCTCCAAGAATCTGCATGCTGTTTTCTTTTCCTGTTTAACAGCAGATTAATTTTGTTTTAGCAAAGACTTTCTTATTCTCCTGGCCTCTCCCCTCCATCCAGGAAGTAGAACCATGCATCGCAAGATAACTTTCTGATCCACAAGGCAGATCTCAGAGGCCCCTATGGTGAAAAACTCACCACCCTCCTCTAATTAAGAGAACTTCAGCAAGAATGCGTAATAATTAGGTTATGGGACAGCTTTCAGGCCCACAGCATCTGCCTTGGGGGAAGGGGTATACAATGCTCAGGCCTCCTCCTGAGCCCCCTAAATCAATGCGGGCAGAACCCACCTCCCCATCATCAAAACCGAACCCTGAGAAATCTGTAGAACATTAGAGCACACTGAAAAAAATCTGCGTTGCCTTCATCTGATTTGTACCTTCACTGGGAAAGAACCACCCACAAACTCTGACATTCCAGCCACCCCAACCCACCAGCCCCCAGCACAGTTCTTCCAAGGACAAGTTACAAATTGAAGATTGTTTTGGAAAAACTCTTTCTGTTCTCTGTTCTGGTTTAAATTGATCATTTTTTAAAGCAATCTTTCTGCTGTTGCTTGTTTAGGAAATTAACCGCTGATTTTTTTTTTTTTTAATCCAAAGACGATGTAATGATTAAGAAAATGATTTTCATGTGAGTGGCATCTTAAAGTACCATCTGATTTGGGGTATTCCTGTTGGGTTTACAGAAACAGGTTCTTGGCTTACGGGTGCAAGGAAACAGATCGAGGGTTTGGCCTGAGAGGGCCTGCTGCACACCAGGGTGGGTGTTCACACAGGTGGTGTCCTGTCTAAATCTCACTACAACACCCAGTGGTGGAGACAGCACCATGATCTGAATGGGTCAATGGCCTTTTGTGAGGCAAAGAGCATGGCGTGAAGGACCCTATTATTTCAAGACGTTCCTTTGATAGAGACGGGCTAGGTCAAGCGGTGGGTCCTCTCCATCCAAGCTGCACACAGGTCTCGCATCCACCGGCCAGGTGGTGTGTTCCTGGGGTCTGTGAGGGATGCACTCAGAGGCAGCCCACCATGAAGCCCGTGGCTTTCGCTGCAGATGTATTTCACATTAATTAACGCTGAGTCTCCACCTATTTTTTTTTCTTAGTTTCTCAGTCTTTTCAAGCCTGGAAAAACATTTTCTTGGATAAAGTGGTCTGGCCTGAGGTAACACTCTGCGTTGCTTAACTCTTGGGACAGTTGTGCTTTTCTTGGGCTGTTCCAGACTTTCCACCTCCATGCAACTCATTTCTCTCAAGTCCCTTGAAAAGAGGTCCCCCCACACGGCTTGCCGCCATCAAAGAGACAACAAACAAGCAGGTTTTAGGAAAACCTAAAATAAGAATGCTGGAGAAGGTGGTTATTCCAACGGTCGTCAGGGATACTTGGGTGTCTTTAAGATTTTTGTTTTTATGTTTTTATTGTGCAATCAGTGTTTGAATCCCTGCGCCTTTAAAAACAAATTTAGTTTCCTAAATAATGCCAAAGTTCACTTTAATCATGACCTCTAACCCCTGACCCTCCTCTCTGCCTTCCAGAATGTTCACCACTCCGACTCTCCGTGTATCCTTACAGATATTTCCAAATATAAAAGTGCCCGTGGAAAATATGTAGTAACCCCGTATGTGTTTCTAATAAATGGTAATAACGCAGAGTATATAACTTCCAGAAAACCGATGCTTTCACGCAATCATATTTCTTTTTTGACGTGCCTGTGTTCATACCTGAAGAAGTGGTTCATTTCTTCCCATTGCCCTTGGTTTCCCACTTTGGTTTCTAGTCTCCTTTGAAAGGACAGCGAACCTCTTTCCAACCGTTTGCTATTTACAAACAATTCAATAATATCTTTTTTACATGTCCCTCGTTCACCTGTATGGACTTTTCTCCCAGGCAGAGAATGAAAGGTGGAATTATCGAGGGTGTTCCCTTTTTGTTTTGTTTTTTTAATCCAAGAAATCCACGCATATAGTTTAAAACTCAGATCGTTCTACAAAAGCAAGAATTGTGAAAAACAGTAGGGCCCCCTCCTCCCTCACCCCTGCCTCTCCTCCCCCACCCCTGCCTCTCCCCCCACGCCTCCGCCCTACCCTTACCCTCCTCGCTCAGCCCCACCCCATCTTACTGCCCCGAGACAACTTCCAACTCTTGCTGACTCTTTGGGTACTTGCCTCCAAATTTCTAACGAACCTGCTTATGTGATCACTTCTTGATGTTTCTCCTGCTTAGCCATGTTCTGTGGCTTCCCAAAACAGAAGACTCGAGCTGTCTTTTCTCACCTTGCGCTGTCACACCCTCGCGGCCTCCCTCCTTGCCTCCCCCCAGCTTGGTCTAGCAGAGGACTTGCCTCCTTCAGCCGTGTAGACGCTCTTCGCAAATAAGCCACTTACTACACGAGCCTCCCCCTGTGCTGTGTGCTGGCTGGGAGCCGACATCTTTCCCAAGCCAGTCCCCTCCGTGGCTGAGTCTGGGTGGCACTTCTCGCTTCTCATCCGGTCCCCGGAGGACTGGCGTGGGTGGGTAGGGGTACAGCCATGCCAGGAAGGCCCCGGCAGCCACGCAGGGGTGGGATGCCCTGGGGCTGAGCAAACCTTTCCCCAGGTCACAATGGTGCCTACCTTGGCCCTGAAAAGTTTGTTTTCCTCATTTTCTCATTTTTCGCCGAGACGCCCAGCCAGCACCAGGAGTGCTGAGATTTGACTGTGGGGGCCCTAATGAGGTGTTGCTCCTAACGACTGCATTCCTGGACTTGATCCTTCACAGTCGTGTGTGAAGCCAAGCTTGCTGGCTCTGTTGGTTTTTCTTTTTTTTTTTTTTGGTGTCGTTCATTATTTTTATAATAAAAGTAATATCCCCTCCCCAAGAAAAATTCAAACAGGAAGGGCGGAGTAAGCCCCCCCTCTCTTCTCTCCCATCCATGCCTGTCCAGAGCCTCCTCTGAAGCAGCGCTGCTCTGCAGCCAGGTTCCCTGGGTTCGAATCCTAGCACCTGCCAGCTGGGTGGACTTGAGCAAGTTATCTCATCTGTAAAACAGGACGATACTAGCTCACTTCTTAGGGCTTTGTGGGAATTAAATGAGTGAATACTTACAAAGCAGCATAGGGAAAATACTTAATAGGTGGCACCAGGATTATTGCTAAGTGTGTCTTTTACACCAGCTTCTTAACCTCGGCTCCACACTGAATTCCCTTGGGGAGCTTTAAATACTCCTGATGCCTGAGCCCCACCCTCAACAATTCTGATTCTATTGGTCTACAGTGTGGCCTGAGCATCAGGAAGTTTAAACACTCCCCAGATTGTTACAGGATGCCAGGGATAAGAACCACTGTGCTCCATATTTTCCACATGTATCAGTCAGGATTAGTGAGGTTATGCTGCATGACAAACATCCCCGGAAATCATGTGCTTCTCCTTATGGGACGCATCCCACAACGCTGTGGTCTTCTGCACTCCCACCCACTCCACCCTCACTCTGGATCCCAAGCTGCCAGAGGAGCTTTTATCCAGATCATTTAGTCTTGTGAAGTGGGAACAGAGAGAGCAGGTGGACCACGCACTGGCTCATAAAGCTTCTGACCAGACATGGGACACAATCTGCTCACATCTCACTACCCAAAGCCGGTCACATGACCATACGTGAGCTCCACAGGAGCTGCTGTTTCAGGGGTTGGCAGACTTTTTCTGTGAATGATCAAATAGTAAATAATTTAGGTTTTGCAGGACATAAGTCTGAATCACATCTGCTCACAAAGTGCAAAAGTAACCACAGACAACACTCTGATAGAAAATGTAAAAATCACTCTTAGCGCATGAGCCGTACAGAAACAGGCGGCTGGTCAGCTTGGCCCAAGAGCCATCATTTGCCAGCTCTTGGTACATATCATCCTTCCAAAAGTGAACAGTAATTCAGTTTACCACACTGAGGGAGGGAGGAATAGGGGGGGAGAGTAAGGGGGGAGGAGAGGAGAGAGGAGGGAATGGGAGAGGATGAGGAACAATTGCATGATTGTGTTTCACGCTGCAGGTGATAGCTTGCTGTTGTTACTACTGTATTTCCTGAGGGCAGATTCCTATCAGTAGCTCCTGCCTGGCTTGCCTAGTTTCCCTGGCATAGACGTGCCATGGTGGGTTTGGAGTGTTTGTTTTTGCAATTATTCCTCCATTGCTAGATAACTGAATTTTTATGAATCAGGAGAAATCAGAATGCCTCAAGAGATGGTTGTCAAGTAAGAACCTGTATCCCAGCTCGCCCAGTAGTTTGCACATAGTTTGCACTGCTCTCCCCGAAATCTCCCAGGTCAGCCTACCAACCAGAACGGTTGGGGCAGGGGGGAGTGTGAGGGGCCTGAAAACACACTTTTTCCAGCAGGCCCTCCATTGTTACTGCCATTTTGTGCTTGCAGCACTAAACACTGTCGCCAGCCCAGAGCATTTGGGAGCTGGGGAAGACAACAAATGTAAAGGCTGCCAAGCTAGAGGTGCAGTCTCAGAAGCTGTACGGTATTATCACCCAGACCCCACACGGAGACAGGCTTGAGGCTGTGTTAGCTGCGCAGATGAGGAGAAGCCAAAAATGCCTTTCAGTGGTGGGACAAGAGGGCGAGGGGGGGCTGAGATGATGACCCCAATTACCTGGGCTTCTCTTCCAACAGGATACCACGACGTCTGTGCGAATAGGCCTGATGATGGAAGAGATGATCTTCAACCTCGCGGATACGCACCTGTTCTTCAACGACCTGGAGGTTTGGGCTGCTTGTTTCATTGGGTATTTTCTGTATTCAATCACATGGAAACAAATGGAAAAGCATCTGGTTTGGGGGAGGAGATACAGCCCCCCCCCCTCTCTCTACCTTTCTGTGCTAGCACCTCCCAAGAAGGCACAGCGCTGTGGACAGCAAAGTTATTGGAAACACACTTGACCCATGGTCTCCCCAGCTTCCCTGGGCAGTCTCTCTCTGCTGCAGTGCTGATGTCCATTGGCAGTTTTACTAATCCAATAAAGGCTGTGTAGTTTCTTCCTCTCGAAATTTGCTATTTAATAAGTTTATTAAGGCAAATTAGTACAGATCCTCCTGGGTCAGTAATAATTAGCAGTGGGCCAGGATGGAAGCTTTTAAAAACAATTTACATTCCTCTGAAAACATGTTTTACAAAGAGAGGGGGGAGCAGAGGGAGTTCGCTTGTTTAAAGTATCTGCTTCTGTGCCCCTAAGCAAGTGACAAGGGAGATAGGGAGAATTGGGAGAAAACAGCTTCAGAAAATCAATTTCATTCATTTGTTTATAACCAACCTGTGTCAGAAAGATTTGGGAAGAATTTTAGATGGAAAACATACTTTAAATCAGACTACTAAAGCAAAGGCAAATAGAAGTTATGTGATGAATAAAGGTAAGGGACCGGACAAAAAATATTCGGCTCGGGCTTCTTACTACAGTTCAAAATTAATCTCTGAGCTTCCTGGTAGCCCAGGTAAGGAGGGAAATACAATGCATTACTTCCCTCTGATGAAAATGCAGACCACTTTCTCTAAGGTGAAAAAGGTTTTTTTCATAAGAGGATTCGTGCAGCGATCTTCTGGCTTTGTAAGAGACAGTTCCATTATTAGTTTAACAGATTTAAAATAAAGCCACCTAAAATAAAACTGTATGCAAATGAGCAGTTCTATTTATCCTAGTAGGAATATTCTTCCCTGAAAAAATAAAATGTGAAGTGGAAATATGAAGGCTACGAATTCCAAATCTGTCCTGACTAGCACAGAGCAGAACCAATATTTATCATCACAAAAGGGTACAGGGTTTTTTTTTCTGGTCTGCAGTCCCAGAGTTTCAGAGGGGAACTCTGTGTCGAAATGGCCGATCTTGTGTGTTGTCTTGTCTAGAAGAGGCATTTGAGCCTCAATCCTCCTATCTATAAAATGAAATTGATGTTCTTTGCCCAACATCTGGCTCAAAGAGAGGCTTGAGATAGAAACTTGTTGATAGGAGAGGTTTGTCTCATGGAGAATACCTCTAGCATCAAGGCTAGGACTGTGTCTTTAGCCAAAGGCGATATGCAGGATCCCTTTGCAATGGCCTCTCATGCCTTGAGGGAAAGAAAGAGAGGAAAGGAGCATTTACAAGTTGTTTTTTTAAAGGCAATTGAATTCCGCAGTTATTTATGGAGTCTAATGTAGTGAAGACTCAGCTGACTGCAAATAGCAACATTCAATTCACTTTAGCAAAACATGGCAATCCTTGGCCCCTGTAGTGAAAAGCTGGGGTAGATTGGGTTTCTCCCCATCTCTGCCTTCCAACATCACTTCCACAAAAGCAGGTGTCACCTCTGTCTAATCCACCCTGAAATCTCCAGGGCCAGGGCAATAAATAATGAAATAAATCCACAAATGAGAAAGTCTGTGATAGTATAAAGGATGTAAAGAAAATAGATCAGATGTGATAGAAGTGATGACAGGGAGCAAGGGGATGGAAGGTCTTGAGTTGAGCCAAGGGTTGTATGATTACAAGAGCCGGCCAGGTGGGGATCTGGAGAGGTGGGCTCGGCAGGTGCAAAGGCCCTGTGGTGAAAACCGGTCTAAAGTAATTAAGATAAGAGAGAAGCAAAGTGACCCCAGTGGATGAGGAAAAGCACAGGGACAGCTGGGAACAATGAGTCTGAAGAGGGAGGCAGACACAGGCGTGGACATCAGAGTTCATTCCCGGTGCTGGACACAGACACAGGGCAAGCGAGCATTAACCGGGGAAAGCCACGAGACCTGATTTATGTTTTTAAAAGACCACTCGGGCTGCTGCATGGAGGTTGGGCAATAGGAGGGGTCAGGGAGAGGCAGGGAGCCCAACAAAGAGATAATAACATCTCCCAAGCAAAGGAAGAAAAGCCGGTTGTCTCCAGGTGCTTAGGCGATGCCAGCTTCAGATGGAAGCAAAAGCCAGAGGCCTTGCTGATGGGTGAGATGTGGGTGACGAGGGAGAGGAGAGTCAAGGGCACTCATGAGCTTGGCCTCACCAGGTTGATGGCCTTTCTCTGGGATGGGCATCTGGGATGTGACGGAAAGATCCATCCTTCCCTGAAGGGCACATAGGGTCTGCCATGTCTGCAACAACCAGGGAAAAGACCAAATTAACCAGTAGAAATACGAGTTTGAAGCCCTCATGCAGTCAGGATGCCAGACACACAGTAGGTGCTTTGTCCATTCTGGGTGACCCTGAGCCTAAGAGCCAGTGTTTTGAGCCACTGTCTTTAGGGCATGTCCCCACCAGCCTGCAGTCAAAGTCGCACCTCTTGAAGAAGGATCTTAATGACCAGCTGGAGCTACTCAGGGAAGCCAGTTTGTTTTTATTCTCTAAATTTTTTCCCAGAATGTCCCCAATGCCAGAAGCCCCTCAGGGCACCTCAGCACAATTGAAACCATGTTACAGAACAGAGAAATTCAGACTCACGCAAGTGAAAACATATTGCTTGCTGGTGTGGGGAGCACCCAAAGAGCATCCTCTGTGCTCCCCGGGAATGCTTTGGCGAGGGAGAGGCACAGGACTCACAGAAGTCCAGGCCGAGGCCGGCTCAGCTGGGACGGTCCACTATGGGGAACAAAGTGAGAGCCACTTCTCTGCTGGCCCTTTACAGGTGTAACAGGTGAGGCTGCTCTGACATTTGTGCAGAGACCTGGAGTTGGTGAGGGAGCCAGACCTGTAGGTATCTAGACAGGAGCGGTCAAGACAGAAGAGCTGTGCAAAGGCCCTGAGGCATGACCAAAATGGGCAGGAACAGGGAGGAGGCCGGAGTGGCAGAGCAGGAAGGATGTGGGCAGTGGGGGGTGAACGGGCAGATCAACTGGGCCTTCAGCCTCCATAAGTCTTAGGCACGGTGCTACAAGCAAAGCGCCCCCGGAGGGTTTTGAGCAGGGGAGTGACATGGCCTGATGTGGTTCAGAGGCTCCCTCTGCTGCCTGTGAAGAATCCAGGAGGCATAGCTGTGTCTCTGACTGTCAGGATTCGGGATGCGTGTCCTCAGTTACGGCAGTGCCTTCTGATTAGCCTTTTCTTTTTTCTTAAAGATTTATTTTATTTATTTATGCATACGAGAACTGCAGTGTAGGCCAGAGGTACAGGGGATGAGAGGATTTAGCAGAGACAGAGTGGGGAGCAGAACAGGCAGATCTACTGAAATACACTGCTGAGGGGAGCAGCACGCCAGACAGGTCTGCTGAGCCATGTGGGTCAGCTCCCTGGCCAGGGATCGAACTCGTGCTGCAGTGGCTGGTGGCTTGAGAGCGCTGAGACTTTACCCCTACACCACCAGGGAGCCCCTGATCAGCCTTTTGAGTCCTGGCTCCCCCATCTCCTGTGTGACCTGAATAAGTAGCTTCCTCTCCTTGTGCCTCATCTGTTAAATGGGTAGAAGAAAATCCTCGCCCTTCCAGGCTTGTAGTGGTGATGGGAGATGAGGACAGCAGGTGCACCTGACACACCGCACCTGCCCGGTGCGTGGCCTCCACCAGCGGGCACCTGTGCACTCAGACCAGCCAGTCAAATAAATGCATGAGGTTTCCGATTTCTCTGCTCAGCTGCCTGCACTTGGTATTGTCCTCTGTGATTATGGGCCTCCTGGCAGGTGTGAAATGGCATCATATTTGAGGTTTGACTTGTGTTTCCGTGTATGGTTATGATAATATTAATAGGCCAGAGTAACATTTTTAAACAGGCTTTAAAAGTAAAATATGCCTTGTAGATTTTTAAGATCAGAGGCAAAGTGTGTGAAGCCCTTTGCGAGCGGAGTGCTCGGCTCCTCGGCTATGAAAGTACCGGAGCTGACATGGGCAGAGCGCCGAGCACATGGGAGAGGCTAAGATCGTACCATTTGTAATCAGACCTGCAAGATGGACAGTCGAGTGTCCTCTGTCCCTAGAGACCTAGGGAGAAGCAGGAGTCACCAGCAGCAAGTCCAGATCCAGACCTGAGAACAGAACCTCCAGGTGTTTGTCCTGGGAACCTGGTCTCTGCCTGGGGCTGCTCAGCTTCCTGACCCAGAGGGCCTTCCTTGTTGATGGGTGAAGGAGGAAACCTTGTCACCCCAATGGGCCAGCTTTACAGGAAACACAGAGTGGTCCTACTAAGCACCTGCCCAGATGCCTGGCACAGTTAGTATTCTGTAGATACTTTATTTATTTTTTTAATTGTTAACATCATTGTTCATTTTTATTTTTTTTTATCTTAAATTTTATTTTTATATTCCCCCATACAATTGCAAACGCCCCATTCTGACCCCAATCCTTCCCCTCCCGCCCCCCACCCCCCAAAAAGTGTCTCTGGTTCATAGTTTTTTGTTGATTTTGATTTTCACTTTCTTATATTCATTTTCCTGGTCCCTTATTTAAGTTTTCTAGATTCCTGCTATGAGTGAGACCATCCGGTATTTTTCTTTTTCTTTTTGGCTTATTTCGCTGAGCATGATCCCTTCCAGCACCATCCATGTTGCTGCAAATTGCATGTGTTTATCTTTTTTGAATGCTGAGTAATATTCCATGATATATATGTACCACATCTTCTTGATCCAGTCATCTACTTTTGGGCATTTGGGTTGTTTCCAAAGCTTAGCTATTGTAAACAGTGCTGCTATAAACATAGGGGTGCAGGTGCTCTTTGGAATTGATGTTTCTGTGTCCTTTGGGTAAATCCCTAGGAGTGGAATTGCTGGATCATATGGAAGCTCTATGTTTAGTAGGTCCAGAAATCTCCACACAGCTCTCC